ATTGGTTTTCCCCGGGGAGGGGGTGGAATCACCAACCATGGGTGAGCTCAACAAAGCCTGGAGGTCGCCCTGGGTCCCAGAGATGAGGAGCTGGGGCTGCGTTGGACTTAAGGGTCTTGAAGGTGTCTTCCAACCTGTGAATTCTGTGAGTTGTGTGAATTGTGTGAATTCTGTGAATTTGGACACACAGTTTTGGAGAATGAGAACAAACCCTGAAGAATAGAGTAAGGGGTGGAGCATTGAAGGGACGACCTGGGGAGGAGCAAAGGTGGGGTCCCAGCCATGGGGGTCGGATGGAGGCCAAAACCATGAGCACCAAAACCAGCCCAAGCACCAAAATGTTTGGCACAGAAATAGGATCCGGAATCCTCGTCCTTGAGGTTGTTCATGGGCAGCGTCACCGAGCTCTGCCCGTTGTCCGTGGAGATCGTGAACCGACCCTGCACCGACAGTGAGTACTTGGTGCTGCCACTGCTGCTCATCCCTGCCAGGAATTGCAGCCCCTGCTCGTGGCTCTGGTGGATCCAGAAGATCTCAACACTCCCGAAACTGAAACCGGCCTCTCGGCAGAGGAGGCGCACGGAACCCCGGGGGCTGGAGGTCCCCCCCGCATTCCAGCAGGGTGACGGCCACCCGGAGGCCTGCGGGACAAAGGGGAGATGGGGACAAGGAGCTGCATTGGCTGTGGATCCAAAGTGGGCACTGCCATTCCAGAAGAAGGGTGTGGGATCCACCTGGGAGGGCCAGCAGGTGCTGCAGGAGGGGGATGATGAACTCCAAGGGTCCCAGTTTGGGGCCAAGGTTCAGGATTTGGGTCAAGGGTTGAGCTTTGGCCTCATCCCCATCTCCCCTTTGTCCCGCAGGGCACCGGGCGGCCGTGACCCTGCTGGAGTGCGGGGGGAACCTCCAGCCCCCCGGAGGGTCCCTGCGCCTCCTCTGCCGAGGGTCTGGGTTCAATTTTGGACAATTTGCAATGGGCCGAGTCCAACAGAGACCCGGGCAGGGGCTGGAATTCATCGCCAGCATCAGCAGTGGTGGTGGCACCACCAGGGACGCAGGTTCAGTCCAGGCCCGGGTCACGATCTCCAAGGACAACGGGCAGAGCTCGGTGACGCTGACCATGAACAACCTCAAGGACGAGGATTCCGGATCCTATTTCTGTGCCAAATCTTCTGGTTTTAGCACTGCTCTTACTGCTTTTTATGGGTGGTTGGGCTGGTGTTTGGGGTTTCAACCCCGTCCCTGTCCCCAGCTGTCCCCAGACCCTTCCCCAAACCCCCGTGACCCACCAATGACCCTTTGTCCCAGTCACGCCCCCTTTGCCCCATCTCTTCCCATTGGCCCCAAACCCTGCCCTGGGTCTGCCCCAAAAATCAAGTCTCGGCCCCAAATCTCCCCCTCGTGCCCCAAAAGCACCCAAAGGGCCGAGATTTGGGGACAGCAGGTGGGGTTTGGGTCAGCGGCTGCGGCTGGGATCCCAAAGTGGGGATTTGGGGCAGAATCGGGCAAGTTTTGGGGCCAAAGCAGGAGGGTTTGGGGCAGAACCAATTTGGGGGTTTGGGGTCTTTTGCCACGGTGGGTGGAACTGGGGGAGATCTGGGCAAAGGGTCAAAAATGAGGTCAAGGGCTGAGATTTGGGTAAAGGTTCTGGGGATATTGGGACAGGAGGGACCCAGGCAAGGGGAAGTGGCCAATAACAGTGACATCATTACCCCAACAGGCACCAGCAGCCTTGGCACAGAATTAGGATCCGGAATCCTCGTCCTTGAGGTTGTTCATGGTCAGCGTCACCGAGTACTGCCCCTTGTCCCTGGAGATCGTGAACCGGCCCTGCACTGAATCTGAGTGGCCAATGCCACCACCGGTGCTCTTGATCCCCGCAATGTATTCCAGCCCCTGCCCGGGTCTCTGGCTGATCCAGAACATGGAGAAACTGCCAAAACTGAACCCGGACCCTTGGCAGAGGACGCGCAGGGACCCCCCCCCCGGGGAGCTGGAGGTCCCCCCCGGACTCCAGCAGGGTCACAGCCGCCCGGAGCCCTGCGGGACAAAGGGGAGATGGGGATGGGGTGATGCAAAAGTCAGGTGGAGGTGTCCAATTAATTAATGGGTGGATCGGAGGTAATTGCAGGGTTTAAGGCACTTTATCATTCAGGATACCTCTGTTGGATGTTTGGGGACAGACAAAGGGTATTTGGGGCAAAAGCAGTGAAGGTTTGGGGAAGGGGGAGCGGCCCTGACCCTGCTGGAGTCTGGTGGGGACCTCCAGCTCCGCGGGGGCTCCCTGCGCCTCCTCTGCTGAGGGTCCGGGTTCAGTTTTGGCAGTTTCTCCATGCACTGGCTGCGTCAGAGACACGGGCAGGGACTGGAATGGCTCGCAGGCATCTACAGCAGTGGTTCCTACACCAACTACGCGCCATCAGTCAAGGGCCGGTTCAGGATCTCCAGGGACAACGGGCAGAGCGCAGTGACGCTGACCATGAACAACCTCAAGTACGAGGATTCCGGATCCTATTTCTGTGCCAAGCGTAGTTCTGGTGGCAATGCCAACACTGCCAGTACTTTGGGCCATTCCCCCATGGCCATTTCCCCAGCTCTCCCCAGACCCCTCCCCAGACCCAGCCCTGGCCCCTCTGTCCCCACCCGGGCTGATCAATCTCCCCATGGTTGCCCAGGGCCAGGGGTTCGAGTCCTGCTGCGGGAGTTTCCCACTGACCCCGAGCTGGGGAGGGGCTGGGCTGGAGGGGGAGGTCTCTGCCCGGACACCTGGACCCCATTCCTGACCCTTTGTCCCAGTCCTAGTCTGGTTTTGTCCCCAGTGTCACCTCTGGGCCACACTCAGTGCCCTTGTAAACCAAAGATTACAGACATGGTCAACATTTGGGACCAAGGCTGAGATGAGAGGTCAAGAATTTAAACCTTGGGCTAAAATTCCTGACGTGAGGACATAAGCAGCACCACCATTGCTATAAGCACCGGTTGCTTTGGCACAGAAATAAACGGCGGAATCCTCGTCCTTGAGGTTGTTCATGGTCAGCGTCACCAAGCTCTGCCCGTTGTCCTTGGAGATCGTGAACCGGCCCTTGACCGATGGCGCGTAGGTGGCGCTGCCGCTGAACCCAGCGAGCCACTCCAGCGCCTGCCCGGGTCTCTGGCAGATCCAATACAGAGTGGAACCTCCAAAATCGAACCCGGACCCTCTGCAGAGGAGGCGCAGGGACCCCTCGGGGGGCTGGAGGTGCCCCTCGCACTCCAGCAGGGTCACGGCCGCCCGGAGCCCTGCGGGACAAAGAGGAGATGGGATTGAGAAACCTGATTGGTAAAGAGTGCCCAACTTTGCATGGCATGCTTCAAAAATCAGACAGGACCCACCTGGCAGGACGATGATGAACTCCAAGGGTCCCAGTTTGGGCCACGGGTCAGGATTTGGGTCAAGGGTTGAGCTTTGCCCTCATCCCCATCTCCCCTTTGTCCCGCAGGGCTCCGGGCGGCTGTGACCCTGCTGGAGTGCGGGGGGGACCTCCAGCCCCCCGGGGGGTCCCTGTGCCTCCTCTGCCGAGGTTCCGGGTTTCATTTTGGAAGTTTTGAAATGTGCTGGATCCGCCAGAGACCCTGGCAGGGGCTGGAAGGGGTTGGAAGTATCAGCAGTGGTGGTGGCAGCACCAACTACGCGCCATCCGCCCAGGGTCCGTTCAGGATCTCCAGGGACACCGGGCAGAGCTCGGTGACGCTGACCATGAACAACCTCAAGGACGAGGGTTCCGGATCCTATTTCTGTGCCAAAGCTGCCTATAATAATTGGGGTGCTGCTGCTGGTATGGATGGTGTTCACCTCATCCCTATCGCTGTGTCCCCACCTGTCCCCAGTCCCCAGCCCCTTCCCCAATCCCCAGCCCCTGACCCCACTCCTGTCCCCGTGTCCCAGCTCTGGGCTGGCTCTGCCCCACATTCTCAATTCTTGGCCCGAAACCTCAATTCTGGGCTCCAAGTCTCAGCCTAGGTCTCTAAAACTGGGTGCAAATGGTCAAGATTTGGGGAAAATGGGCCAGATTTGGTCTGTGTCTTTGACTCAGATCCACCACTGAATTTCTGAGCCAGAATGGGTCCAGTCTGGGGGCAATGGTTGGGATTTTACGGCTGAGGCCAAGCTCAGGGTGAAACCGGCCCTGATTTGGGGCCAGGAGCTGAGATTTGGGGCCAGAGCAGGGCAGGGTTGGGACAAAGGATCAGGAGTGGAGGGAAGGCTTGGGGCACAGGGAGAGGGAAAAACACATAAACAATATTTGCAGCACCCCAACCAGCACAATAACCATCAGCAACCCTGGCGCAGAAATAGGATCCAGAATCCTCGTCCTTGAGGTTGGGGCATGGGGAAAGGAATGGGGTCAGGGGCTGGGGTTTGGGGAAGGGTCTGGGACAGGTGAGGGCAAGTGGTGACACAGCGATGGGTGCGGGCCCAATAGCATAGGCATCATTATATGGAGCAGTAGCACCAGCAACCTTGGCACAGAAATAGGATCCGGAATCCTCGTCCTTGAGGTTTTTCATGGCCAGCGTCACCGAGCTCTGCCCGTTGTCCCTGGAGATCCTGAACCGGCCCTGCGCCAATGGCGCGTAGTCGGTGTAAGCACCACTGCTGATCCCTGCAAGGCATTCCAGCCCCAGCCCGGGTCTGTGGCGCACCCAGTGCATGCCAAAACCCCCAAAAAAGAACCAGAACCCTCGGCAGATGAGGCGCAGGGACCCCCCGGGGGGCTGGAGGTCCCCCCTGCACTCCAGCAGGATCACGGCCGCCAGGAGCCCTGCGGGACAAAGGGGAGATGGGGATGAGAAACCTGATTGGTCCAGGGCTTCAAAGTGGGTTTGGCCAGCTGGAAAAGAGTCGGGACCCACTTTGGAGGAAGATGAGAAGGCCCAGGGGTCAGAATTTGGGGCCAATAATCAGAATTTTGTTCAAGGGTTGAGCTTTGGCCCCATCCCCATCTCCCCTTTGTCCCGCAGGGCTCCGGGCGGCCGTGACCCTGCTGGAGTGCGGGGGGGACCTCCAGACCCCCGGGGGGTCCCTGCGCCTCCTCTGCCCAGGGTCCGGGTTCAGTTTCGGGAGCTACGACATGAACTGGATCCGCCAGAGACCCGGGCAGGGCCTGGAGTGGCTTGCAGGGATCAGCTGGGATGGTTCCGGCACCTTCTACGCGCCATCAGTCAAGGGCCAGTCCAGGATCTCCAGGGACAACGGGCAGAGCTCGGTGACGCTGACCATGAACAACCTCAAGGACGAGGATTCCGGATCCTATTTCTGTGCCAAAAGTGCTTATGCTGGTTATGTGGGTCCTGGTGCTAATTTAGGTGACATCCATGGTGGATCCAAGCCCCCATCTCAGTGTCCTTTCCTGTCCCCAATCCCCAGACCCTTCCCCTGGGTCTCAGCCCTTCACCGCATTCTTGACCCTTTGTCCCAGATCTCCCCCAGTTGCACGACGCCAACCATGGAGCCAAACCCCCAAACTGGTTCTGCCCTAAATCCAACTAAGTTTGCACCAAAAACGCCCGATTCTGCCCCAAAATCCCACTTTGCGCTCTCAGCCACAGCCGCTGACACGAATCCTGAACCTTTGGCCCCAAATCGGGACCCTGGGCCTCAATCCCTGACCTTCAGAGCAAAGGTTTGGGGCACAAAGAGGTGATTTGGGGTCAGGAGTTGTGGTTTGGGGTCAGCGGGTGAGAAGTGGGGCTGAGGCAGAGAAAGGTTGGGATCAATGGTCAAGGGCTGGGTGTGGGCTGGGGGTGTGGGGGAAGGGTCTGGGCAACGGGGACAGGGCGGGGACACGGAGATGGGGATGGGGACAGCAAGGCCATCGTCAATAAGATGAGCACTTTCAGCCCAACCAGCACCAGCACTCTCGGCACAGAAATAGGATCCGGAATCCTCATCCTTGAGGTTGTTCATGGGCAGCGTCACCGAGATCTGCCCGTTGTCCCTGGAGATCCTGAACCGGGCCGTGACCGATGGATTGTAGTAGGTGGTGCCATCAGGATTGTAGATCCCTGCGACGTATTCCAAACCCTGCCCGGGCCTCTGGCGGATCCAGAACATTTCATAACTCCCAAAACTGAACCCGGACCCTCGGCAGAAAAGGCGCAGGGATCCCCCGGGGGGCTGGAGGTGCCCCCCGCACTCCAGCAGGGTCACGGCGGCCCGGAGCCCTGTGGGACAAAGCGGAGATGGGGATGAGGCCAAAGCTCAACCCTTGACCCAAGTCCTGATTATTGTCCCCAAACTTGGACCCTTGAAGTTCATCCTCCTCCTCCCAGGTGGGTCCCGCCTCTTTTTACAGCTGGCCTTGCCCACTAGGAGGCTCTGGACCAATCAGGTTTCTCATCCCCATCTCCCCTTTGTCCCGCAGGGCTCCGGGCAGCCGTGACCCTGCTGGAGTGCGGGGGGGGTACCTCCAGCCTCCCGGGGGTTCCCTGCGCCTCCTCTGCCGAGAGTCCGGGTTCAGTTTTGGCAGTTTCGGCATGCAGTGGATCCGCCAGAAACCCGGGCAGGGCTTGGAGTGGCTCGCAGGGATCAGTGAAAATGGTGGCACCACCAACTATGTGCCATCGGCCAAGGGCCTGTTCAGGATCTCCAGGGACAACGGGAAGAGCTCGGTGACGCTGACCATGAACAACCTCAAGGACGAGGATTTTGGATCCCATTTCTGTGCCAAACGTGACAATGGTTATGCTGGTGGTAATGCTGCTGCTCTTTTTGCCTTCACTTATGCTAATGACCATGAGGGTCATGAAATTTCTCCAATCCCAGCGATGCGTCCCTCAAGTTTCAGCCCTTCTAAAACCTCAACCATTTTCTCCAAAACTCTACCAATGTGTCCCAAACTCTGTACGTTTCTCCAATTTTGCCCATTTCTCCATAACCTCAACCCAGTCCAAGGTCCTGTTTGTAGGAGGCCTGAACTGGAGCCCAGGGGTGAAGTTTTGGGGCGAATGGTTGAGTTTTTAGGCAAGAGCAGGGGAGGGTTTGGGGTCAGTGCTGACCATTGGGGCAAATGGGGGAGATTTGGGACAAAGGGTCAAGGGCTGAGGTTTGGGGAGGAAGAGTCTGGGTTTGGGGACAAGGGGGGCTCTGATGGGGTGGTGCAACCACCGGAATGGTCAATATAGGCAGCAACAGGGTTACCAGTATTGACAGATTTCACAAAGAAATAGGATCCAGAATCCTCGTCCTTGAGGTTGTTCATGGTCAGCGTCACCGAGCTCTGCCCGTTGTCCCTGGAGATCGTGAACCAGTCCTTGACCGATGGCGCGTATTTGGGGTAACCACCATTGTTGTTCACACTCACGACGCATTCCAGGGCCTGCCCGGACCTCTGACGACACCAGCCCATCCCAAATTGTCCAAAATTTAACCCGGACCTTCAGCAGAGAAGGCGCAGGGACCCCCCGGGGGTCTGGAGGTTGCCCCCCGCACTCCAGCAGGGTCACGGCTGCCCGGAGCCCTGCGGGACAAAGGGGAGATGGGGATGAGGGAAAAGCTCAACCCTTGACCTAAATCCTGACTATTGGCCTCAAATTGGGACCATTGGAGTTCATCACCCTGCTCACAGGTGGGTCCTGCCCCATTTTTGAAGCATGCTATGCGAAGTTGGGCACTCTTCACCAATCAGGTTTCCCATCCCCATCTCCCCTTTGTCCCGCAGGGCTCCGGGCGGCCGGGACCCTGCTGGAGTGCAGGGGGGACCTCCAGCCCCCCGGGGGATCCCTGCGCCTCCTCTGCCGAGGGTCCGGGTTCGATTTTGGCAGTTTTGGGATGGGCTGGTATCGCCAGAGACCCGGGCAGACGCTGGAGGACATTGCAGATATCAGTAATGGTGGCAGCACCTGGTATGCGCCATCCGTCAAGGGCCGGTTCACGATCTCCAGGGACAACGGGCAGAGCTCAGTGACGCTGACCATGAACAACCTCAAGGACGAGGATTCCGCCATCTATTTCTGTGGGAAATCTGTCAATACTGGTGCTCCTGTTGCTGTTGCCCATGGGGACCTTCCCAGTGATTGCCCCACACCAAACACAGCACCCCCACCTGTCCCCATTCCCCAGACCCTTCCCCAGCTCCCAGCCCCTGACCCCGCCCGTGACCATTTCTCCATTTCCCTTTTCCCTCTCCAGCCCCAAACCCCAACCCTTGGCCGTTGATCTTCCCCCTAACTCTGCCCCAAAGGTCAGCGCTGGGCCTGGGGCTGGGGACACGAATTCAGTCACCGAGAGTGGGGACGAGGGCTGGGACTTGGGGGAGGGTCTGGGGAATGGGGTCATTTGGGGACACGACGATGTGGGTGGAGTCAATAGCATTGGCATCATGGTCATCGCCATCCGCCCCAGCGGCTTTGGCACAGAAATAGGATCCGGAATCCTCGTCCTGCAGGTCGATCATGGTCAGGGCAGTGTCGCTCTGCCCGTTGTCCCTGGAGATCCTGACCTGTCCCGTGACCGACGGGGCATTGTGGGTGTAACCCTCAGAGCTGTGGATCCCCGCGAGCCATTCCAGCCCCTGCCCGGGGCTCTGGCAGATCCATTGCATGGAGTGACCCCCGAAACTGAACCCGGACCCTCGGCACAGCAACGTCAGGGACCCCCCGGTGGGCTGGAGATGCCCCCCACACTCCAGCAGGGTCACGGCCGCCCGTAGCCCTGCAGGACAAAGGGGAGATGAGGGAAATCAAAACTCTGATTTGTCAAGGACCTCCAAGTGGTTGTGGCCAGATGGACAAAGGAGTAGAATGCTCCTGGCGGGAGGATGATGAACTCTAAAGATCCCAATTTAGGGCCAAGAGTCAGGATTTGGGTCAAGGGTCGATCTTTGGCCTCATCCTCATCTCCCCTTTGTCCCGCAGCGCTCCGGGCGGCCATGACCCTTCTGGCGTGCAGGGGGGACCTCCAGCCCCCCGGGGGGTCCCTGCGCCTCCTCTGCCGAGGGTCCGGGTTTGATTTTTGGAGTTTTTCCATGCAATGGGTCCGACAGAGACCTGGGCAGGGCCTGGAGTGGCTTGCAGGGATCAGCGGAAATGGTTCAAGCACGTACTACACGCCGTCAGTTAAGGGCCTGTTCAGGATCTCCAGGGACAATGGGCAGAGCTCGGTGACGCTGACCATGAACAACCTCAAGGACGAGGATTCCGGATCCTATTTCTGTGCCAAATGTGACAATGGTTATGCTGGTGGTGATGCTGCTGCTCTTTTTGCCTTCACTTCTGGTGGTGACCACGATGGTCGTGAAATTTCTCCAATCCCAGTGATGCTTCCACCAAGTTTCGGCCTTTCTAAAACCTCAACCATTTTCCCCCAAACCCTGCCATTGTGCCCCAACTCTGTGCTTTCCTCCATTTTTGCCCATTTCTCCCTAATCTCTTCCAAGTCCCGGGCCCTGATTGGAGGAGGCCTGAACTGGAGCCCAGGGGTGAAGGTTTGGGGCCAATGGTTGAGTTTTGGGGCAGGAGCAGGGGAGGGTTTGGGGTCAGTGCTGACCATTGACGCAAATGGGGGAGATTTGGGACAAGGGGTCAAGGGCTGAGGTTTGGGGGGAAGGGTCTGGGTTTGGGGACGGGGGGCTCAGACAGGGGTGATGCCAAAACTGGCATGGTCAATATGAGTAGGAGCAGCAGGCCAACCAGCATTAGCAGATTTCCCACAGAATGAGGATCCGGAATCCTCGTCCTTGAGGTTGTTCATGGTCAGCGTCACCGAGCTCTGTCTGTTCTCCCTGGAGATCCTGAACCGGCCCTGGACTGATGGCGTGTACTCGGTGTAACCTCCATTGTTGTTGACACTCGCAACGTGTTCCAGCCCCTGCCCGGGCCTCTGGCGCATCCAGCCCATCCCAAATTGTCCAAAATCGAACCCGGCCCCTCGGCAGAGGAGGCGCAGGGACCTCCCGGGGGGCTGGCGGTGCCCCCCGCACTCCCACAGAGTCACAGCCGCCCGGAGACCTGCGGGAAAAAGGGGAGAAGGGGGTGAGGGAAAACCCCAGCCCTTGAGCCAAATCCTGACTCTTGGCCCCAAATTGGGACCCTTGGACCTCCCCATCCTCCAGCTCCTCCTCCTGCTGGCGTTCCCAGGTGGGTTCCGCCCACCTCCAGATCTGGCTACGCCCAGTTTATTTTGGAAACTAGAATTGATTGGCATCTGACCCCATGACTCAGAATGCTGCACAATTGCGGCATTCAATCTGTACTATATTACATTAATTCTATATCTACTTAATACTTTATTATATCTCATTAATAACATATTCTATTTCATTTCTGCTATATTACCACTCCACTAAAGAGATACTAAAAGAATTCAGTACAAAAGACACTAAAATATCCTATAGAAAACCTGTGAGCAATTAAATTGAAAAAGAATAAGAATCAATCAGCAGAACCCAACTGGTAAATGCCTGGAGGGGAACAATCCCCCAGACACGTTCCACATGTGCAGAAACAGCAGGAGCAGCGATGAGAGATGGGAATTGTTTCATCTTCTTCTTC